CCAAAATCAAGCAGGAAATGACAAGCCCAAGCCCTTTGAAGAGCCGAAGCCGTCTTGCAGCCGTTTTTGACGCCCCAAATGCGGCCTCAAGCGCAACGAAAGGGCTCAAGATTCCCCATTACGACGGAACAACATCCTGGACCGCGTTCAAGCTACAGTTCGAGACACTTATGGAGGCTTATGGTTGGACTCAGAAGGAAGCACAGTCAGCCCTCACCCTGGCCCTCCGTGATCAAGCGCTCTCAGTGCTGGAAGCTGTCGGCGCAAGTGGGGATCTCAGCTTTAGTGCCCTCCTCGACGCACTGGAGGCACGTTTTGGAGACAGCCACCTCGAGCACGTGTACAGAGCGCAATTAAAAGAGCGTACTCAGCGTGCTAATGAGAGCCTACAGCAATGGTCCGTGGAAATCGAGAAACTTGTGCGTCGAGCTTTCCGGTCGACTCCGTCAATGATTGAAGGCACGCTTCTCCAAGCATTCATTGACGGTATTCGGGACCCCGAAGTACGAGCTGCTGTTCATCTGGGCCATCACAAGAACATGAAAGAAGCTCTGGCCCATGCATTGGAAGTGGAAGCCGTGCGTGGCAACCCCCGTACCTTAGGTCTGCGGGAAATGACGACAACGGAGCAGGTACCTCCACGCCGTCGGAACTTCATGTGCTATGGATGCGGAGAGCGTGGGCACATACGGAGCGACTGCCCGAAGAAGATGAACCGCCAGGACGCGGCGGTCTCAACTTCTGACCAGCAGGGAAACTTAAATCCAGCCAAGGCTGCGGGGTGGGCGTTGGCTGGAAGTGGAACAACCCCAACAATCTACATCAAGCAAACCAACGATGGAAATACACTGGTGATAGACGGTCAAGTAAATGGGAAAAACAGTCAGCTAACATTAGATACTGGAGCTTCAAGGACGGTGATAAATGTTCGGCTGTTTGGGCAAAACATCAGGAAACACCTTAAACCAATTGTTGGCCTACGAATGAAATCAGCTACCGGCCAGTGCATACCGATAAGTGGAAAACTGCATATAACAATCAAAATTGGGGAACGTGTTTATCGACATGAGGTTATTGTGGCCGAAATTCTGGATGACTGCATCCTGGGACTTGACTTCCTGCAAGGGCACCAGTGTAACATCGACTTAAAATCTGGAGTATTACTATGTGGAACTGAGGAAATTCCGATGAAGGGTGGAACCCTGGGAAAAGTTTGCTGTTTAAGAAGAACTGTTCTTGCACCAAAATCACAGACTCTCGTACCAATTGCATTACCTAGGAGGAGGGAAGGAAGTTTACCTCGAAGGTGCGCTGTGATTGATAAATCGGAACACGTAAACTCATGGCTACCGGCAAGAACTGTCGTGGGGTCATCTGATGTCAACCGCATTCCGGTATTCAACTTCAGTGATTCAAAAATTACGATTGAAGAAGGAGAGCCTGTGGGCGTATTGGAAGAAGTGGCCTGGATAAGAAAATGCTCGGAAAATCTTGTGAAGAAGGACAGTACGGGAATAGACTTTGTAACGAAAATCTTAGACGAAAACAAAAGTCTGACAAAAGTGGAGACTATGAAAGCTAGAAATTTACTTCTTCGATTCTCTGATGTGTTTTCAAGAAGCGATGGTGATATTGGCCGAACTGGTTTGGTGAAGCATAAAATAAACACAGGTGATACAATGCCAATTCGTCAAAGGCCCAGACGTATACCATTCGCTCGTGAGAAAGAGGTTGAACAAATGATTGACGATATGAGGAAAAATGACGTGATAGAGCCCTCTTCTAGCCCTTGGTGCTCACCTGTCGTGCTTGTCAAGAAGAAAGATGGTTCAACGAGGTTTTGCGTAGACTATCGACGATTGAATGATGTAACCAAGAAGGATAGCTACCCGTTACCAAGAATCGATGACACACTTGACACACTGAGTGGCATGAAATGGTTTTCAACGATCGATCTGAAAAGCGGCTATTGGCAGGTGGATTTGGATCCCAAGGACAAGGAAAAGACCGCATTTTCAACTGGGAAGGGACTCTGGCAATTTAAGGTGATGCCATTTGGATTATGCAATGCACCGGCAACCTTTGAGCGTTTGATGGAACAGGTGCTGGCGGGACTGCTGGGCGAAACCTGCCTAGTTTACCTCGATGACATCATCATTGTTGGACGGGATTTTGACGATCATCTAAGAAAATTGGAAAAGGTACTCGACAAGCTGCGTGGAGCAAATTTAAAGTTGAGTCCAAAGAAATGCTCTTTCTTCATGCGCGAAGTGAATTATCTAGGACATGTTATTTCTGAGAGAGGAATCGAGACTGATCCAGCCAAGACTGTCGCTGTTAAGGAATGGCCAACACCTAAAGACAAAACGCAAGTTCGGGCATTTCTTGGATTGTGCTCGTATTATCGGCGGTTTGTGAAAGGATTCTCGGACATTGCCAAGCCTTTGCATCGATTGACAGAGGAGAAACGTGCCTTTATCTGGGACGAGGATTGTGAGCAAGCCTTTCGAAAACTAAAAGAACGGCTTTGTAACACACCAATTCTCGGATACCCCAGCGCGAAAGGAATATTCGTAGTTGATACGGATGCCAGCAATATTGGAATAGGAGGTGTCCTTTCACAACGCGATGGTGAGCAGGAGAAGGTTATTGCTTACTTCAGCAAGTCACTATCTAAGCCGGAGAGGAATTATTGCGTGACCAGGAGGGAATTGCTGGCCGTAGTCAAAACTCTGCACCATTTCAAGAAGTATTTACTGGGACGGAAATTTTTGATCAGAACTGATCACGCTGCTTTGAAATGGCTGCTTCAGTTTAAGGATCCCGAAGGCCAAGTAGCCAGATGGTTGGAACAACTTCAGGAATTTGACTTTGAAATCGAACATCGCGGCGGAAGAATTCATGGCAACGCAGATGCATTATCGAGACGCCCATGCGTGGAAGATTGCAAGCATTGTGCCAAGAAGGAAACTGCTTTTCTTAAGGTGATAAGGACTGATACTGTTGACGAGGCATGGGGAGATGATGCGATGAAATTAGAACAGGAAAGAGATGCAGATATTAAACCAATACTGAAGTGGCTACGAAGTGGTAACAAGCCAAGTTGGAGTGACGTCGCCCAATATAGCGCGGTAACGAAAGGTTTATGGGCACAGTGGAAAAGCCTTACGCTGCATAACGGACTTCTGTGCAGGAAATGGGAATCAACAAACGGCAAGGACGAGCATTTGCAATTGGTGGTGCCTCGTTCAAAAATAAGGGATGTATTAAAAGCGTTCCATGATGGATCTTCTGGAGGACATTTGGGAATTAGGAGGACTTTGGTGAAGATCAAGGAGAGGTTTTATTGGTTGCATTGCAAATATGACGTCGAAGATTGGTGCCGGAAATGCACTAGTTGTGCAGCTGTCAAGGGTCCACAAACAAGAAGCAGAGGGGCGATGAAAATCTACAATGTTGGTATGCCTTGGGAGAGAATAGCCTTAGACATCGCTGGACCATTTCCAATCACTGATTCGGGCAATCGCTACGTTTTAGTGGTTATGGATTATTTTACAAAATGGCCGGAGGTCTTTGCCATACCGAATCAAGAGGCAGTAACTGTAGCCACGAAGTTGGTAAACGAGGTATTCACCCGATTCGGAGTGCCCTTGGAGATGCACAGTGATCAAGGACGGAATTTTGAATCCCAAGTTTTTCAGGAAACTTGTAAACTTTTGGGAATCCATAAGACTCGAACGACCCCTTATCATCCACAGTCAGATGGAATGGTCGAACGCTTCAACCAAACATTGGAGCGACACTTAGCAAAGGTGGTTGACAGCCATCAGAGAGATTGGGACACTTACATACCTCTCTTCTTGCTTGCCTATCGGACTGCTGTACATGAAAGTACCGCAAAGACGCCTGCATTTGCAAATTTTGGAAGGGAATTGAGATTACCGGCAGATCTTGTATCGGGCTGTCCACCTGGCGACACTCGCACCGAGTTTAGCGATTACATAAACGAGTTAAGGGCAAAAATGTTGGACATTTATGAGCAGATCAGGGAGGCCGGTCTTCAAGCTAGTGATCGCGCAAAGACGCGCTATGATCGACGAGCCAATTCTGTTGGGTTTGAAGAGGGGTCATTGGTCTGGCTTCATAATCCAGTCAGAAGGAAGGGAAAATCTCCGAAGCTTCAACCGAGTTGGGAAGGTCCTTATGAGATAGTCACGAAGATCAATGACATTACTTACAGAATTCGGAAGACTTCAAGGAGCCCTTTGAAAGTTGTCCATATAGACAGGTTGGCGAGGTATTACGGCAGCAACGATGCTCGGGACGAGCGAATCTAAGAGGGGGGCAGTGTGACGGAAAAGTGGTTCAAACTCTTTGACATCATGACGTCAATGGATGGTTGTCAAACGTTGCCTAGAGATTGTAAATTTCATCGTGAATTGTCAACACGAGTTGGTGTAATCGGTAAGGCGTGTGGATTACACCACAGAGACCCCGAGTTCGAGTCCCGCCGTAAACATGAAGTTTTTTAGTTTATAGAAGTTTTGTCGAACTTTCTGGAATTATTTGTGTGAAAGAAATGAAAAATTAAAGAGCGAGAAGGAGAATAAATAAAAATGAATAACGAAATTATTGGAAGGTTCTGGAGGCATGACGATCAAAAAGAATAACGAAATTGAATGTTCCAGTACCTGACCGGGGGTATATAAGCGGAACTGCGGCTCACCGCTGGCAGTTGAGTTCTAAGTCTAAAGCGATTCGGAAGAAAAGGAAGAAGTGAGAAAGAAGAAAAGTGAGTGAAATAGTGAAGTGCAGTGAAATAGTGAAGTGCAGTCAGTTAAGTGAGTTAAGTCAGCGTGAACGGCAAAGTTGTGTCAGTCGGCCGGACTCTGCTGGAGAGGAACGCCGATAACTTAACTCCGTGGACGCTGTAACTTAAGTGCAATAGAAAGTCTGAAAACCGGTATTAGTGTTTCATTTCATCCAATCCCGTAACCCAAGCCCGCATAGTCAGGAACGTGACGTCAGGCACGTAACAATATTTAAATTACATGTATCTACCTACCTTACTTTGTCATTCGACAAGCAGAATAAAATCAGGTAGGTAGTACAGTGGTTAACTTCCTTCTTCGGTGAGCCCTCTTTATTTTGGAATTCTCTGCAAGAAAAACGTAAGATTTTTTTTATATATTTTACTATATACCTACTTTAGATACATATCAAAAAATCAGAAAAAGAAAATCTACTCATAAACTACTTTTTTAAATATCCATTGAAACACGACTACGTAGCTTGACTGACTAATCAAATAACCTGTAAACACGCGACGCTCGCGTGCTTGTGACGTCATTCTGATTTCTGTGGCAGGTTTACCAAAGAATCTATAATAGACAGTGGGTACATGATCGGAGCGTGCAACGTTTATCGTGTTTTACGATAATAAACAACCAAGTTATTAATGTAGTGCTCATAACAAAACAAATGAGCTCATTATAATCTCTTTAATAAGCTGAATCAGTTTACCAGAGTTTAGTCTAGTAGTCACACTGGTTTGGTATACTACTTTCTACACAATGTCTCAAAACAAACAAGAATTGCGTGTAGTGACATATATGTGTCCAACGCACCCGATCCAACTGTATGAATTAATCTTGGAATTACTAGAAGAAGCATTGGGTTGTTATACCACTTTGCAATATGAAAGCAGAAGCCCGGGACCATTACCAGATCGACCTGATCCATTTTCCACTAATAAAGTTGATTTAGGTAAGATAACTTTGTATTAATAGGCACTCAAAACTGCACAGGTCCATGTATTTACATGTTACCTACCCACCCCAGAAACTTTCACTAAAGCCGCTTAAGTGCAAACAATATATGGTGATTAAGGTCTTGTTACCCTTGTTAAAGTTAACAGTAGAGGCAGCATGACTAACTAGAATTTACATTTCAGCGTTCATGACAGCGTCCGCATATATAAAACTGCGAGAAAAGAAGAACGGTAACATTGAATTACTACCAGTAACACCAGTTTTCGCTCATCAGATGAATGTGGAAAACAAACCAGGATATTTCTCGGATATTATCATTCACAGTGATAAGAAGTAAGAGTTTGCAATTTAATCTCAAATCTGTCTCTTTTCAATTTTCTCACAGAATATCTATATCGCGTCTGCTTATTCTTAAATAATAAAATCGATTTACGAACTTGGCTTCTATTGAAATAAATTCACAACACGATAGATAATAAAATGTTATCAGCATGTCATTGACTCATGATAAGAAGGAGTCTTCTATTATTCTACAATTAGCTGCCAAACGTTAATATTGTTTTATATAAGTAAATAGTTGCTTATAATACGGTTTTTTAACAGGGCTCATAACGTTAATACTTTATTGGATCTTCGCGGTTGTACATTTGCATACAGTGACGAGGAATCTCTGAGTGGAAGTAAAATAGTGTTAAAAACATTAAAAGAAAAAGGCGAAAATGCTTCATTTTTTGGATCTCTGCTAAGTAGGTATTTTAAGTTGCTTACATTATGAATTAGATACTTAAGTAACGTAAATGATAAATTATGACAATTTAAAATAATCATTTTACACAGGATCTGGATCACATTTGTCGTCGGCTCAGATGGTGCTCTCTAAACAAGCAGAATGGGCCGCAGTTGACTCCACAACTCTCCTTTTTTCTAAGAAGTTTATGTACGATGGTGGCAAAGATATTATAACCCTGGAAACTTTAGGTCGATTACCACCATATCCTATCGTGGTCAACGCTAAACTACACGGTGAGTGTATTTTCTGCTTTAATACCTAAGTATGTATTATTATCGTAGTACGGTCGTGCAAAAGTGATATAGCCCATTACTTATCTACCTATGTACCTACTTATTGAACAATTTTTGTTTCTCAGACTATACCTATTTATTTATGGATGCTATATTATTACTTATCAAACAATTTTCATGAATCGGACCGCATTTTAGTCCGTCCTAAGATTACATAGTGTTCGGAGGATATGTACTTACCTACGTTTGAGCATTCCGTAGCACCGATGTGTCCTTAGAGAAACGATCAGCGGCGGCAAGCACCCGCACCCGGCGTTAGTTTAGAGTTTAGACTACTTTAGACCATTGGTGCGGAGCGAGAGGAACGGGAAAGTCGTCGTCTTCTCCTGCGACAAAACATTCACCGTAAAACGCGGGTTTTCCGATGAGCAACAAGGGTAGCTCCAGAACTAAACCAGACCATCACAGTTGGGCACAGGGGCCTAGTAGGGCCGATGCCCAGCCGGAGTTGTGAGTGCAAGCGCAATGTAAATCGTCGAATGTCTTCTTCCGGCCCACCTAGGGCGAACGGGGTATATGTATAGCTCGTAGAACAGAAACCGACGGGGCAGAAAAGTTCTCGAGCGGAGGACAAACGTAGCGTAAGACGTCCATCCAGAAAATACTCAGAAGATTTAATAAGGGTCGTAGGATGCCGTCACAGTCACCGGGGAAGCCTATGTTCAGCAAGGGAAGTGGCCTTTATGATGATAATGAAAGTATTTATTTGTATTTGTACGTGCCGCACTAGGATTGTTTTCTGTGTAATGGGTAGGTATGTTTACAAACATACAATTTCACAAGCATAACATCCAGACCCGGAACAACAATGTATGAATCACACAGAGTTGTTTCTGGTCGAATCGAACCGAACGGACCGTAGGTAGGTACCTACTTATTTATTTATCCACAGCTTTGGATAAAAATTAAGTATTTACTAAGCAATTAGGTATCTGGATAAAATTCCATCACTACCTACGTACGCAATATACATAACAGTCTAAAATTTAGAAAAAATCTCTACTAAAGATACCCGATTTTGTTTCTATGGAAACTTAAAATTGTCTTTTCCTGTCTCTAACTAATCTTTATTGAAAATGTTCCTACTGACCTGCTTAAATAAGTTTGTAGGCCATGATATGACCATATACGAGTATGTACCTAACTATGAGTGGGTACCACGAATCAGTAGTTTCCACAGTTTTTGATTTGAAAAATATTGTATAAAAACCCATATGGCGTACCTAATAAATTATAGGTACCTGGTACCTACCTGAAGATGCGTGTGATACCGGTGATACCTGTCTTATGTGATAGAAGCTAACCATTGTCGTTTAGTATTTGCTTAAATAAGTTTGTAGGCCATGATATGACGGCTGCGGGGTAAGTGCAATGAGGCACCGCGACCTCGGCAATGAGGAGAAGGAACGGGGGGGTTAGGTAGGTACCACAAATCAGTGGTTCCCACAATTTTTAATAAAAACCCATGTGGCGTAATAAATTATACCTGGTACCTACCTGGAGATGCGTGTGATACCGGTGATACCTGTCTTATGTGATAGAAGCTAACCATTGTCGTTAGGAATTTTGAATATAGCTATAGCTCCTCACAATGACGACGCTCGGGCGTTTCCTCCCGCTAGATCCCAAACAGGAACCTACCCAAGCTGCCGTGCCCGGTAAGCACCTGCGTCAGGCGGAACGTGAGTACGCCGCTCTCAAGCCACTCCTCAAAGAGGGACCCCTCTTACCGCTGCTATAATAGCGTGTCCGGTCCTCGGTTGCGACAGTCGTTGCTTCCACTCAGCCATGAGATCTCGCCGGAGATCATTTCGCCACGTATGTACGACCAGCGTACGAGCTGGCCACCGCCTCAAGTCTGGCGCCCAGGGCCCCCGTAGAGGGCCATGTATCGCACAATCCCCATATACAACCTCGGGCAGGAGGTATTTGCCTACCCCAGGTTGGGAAGGAGCCGCTCGAGTGCGGCCCCAGTCCGTTCCAATTTAGGAGCCAAACGACAGAAATGCTCCTTAACGTTCCACGGGCTGTCGAGGGCAAGGGGCCAGGTACTTCATCGCCGACTCGACGCCTATGGTAACCCCTCCTGCCATTATTTGGGACTCATCTGGAGGTGGCGCGTTCCGACGGCTATAAAAACACATGGCCTCGGACTTGTGGAGCGCCACCTCGATTCCGAACTGCCGGATCCTTGCAACGACTGTCGCAACCGCTTGTGACATCAGGTCGGCCGCCGCCTGATGCGACCTACCTAGAATGCTCTAAGGCTAACGATGTCATTTCATACAAACCGCTTAGGTATTATCAATCAATCAACCATTCGTGTGGTTGTCAGCCATGATGATTTAACACCTAATGAGTCACCTAACCGCAGACAATTCTTAAATAATTACCAAAATCATAACGATAAATTGATGTTAGTAAGCAGTCAAATTTGTCGCAGAACTGATAAACTGAGATATGAGGCTGCCCTATGCTTTGGCAATGATTGGATATGCAGACTGAATTGTTACTGGAAAGTCCAATGTCAAGTCCTTAGAATTCGTAAGGCTCCGGCCGCACTGTGGCGAAACCGCCGGTTCTGTTCTGTTTATAATTTTATTGTACCTAGGTATCTAAATCGGCATCGGGTCGCTATAAAGCGAAAGTGCAGCACCTTGTAGGAAAGTCTCACTAAATAAGTTACGCGGTTAAAAACAACGTTACAACCCTAGAGCTACCTAGACTTTCAAGAGCATAATACACGGACTCAACACAAAATGCCTATGGCGTGGAATACAGACTAATGAAAGTATTTGTTTCAGAAGAGACAAAAAAGGCAATAACAAATGCGCTGCTCCGCCTACCTCAGACACAACAGTGGAAAAACAAATTTGCTAAATTCGGCATAATCAAGTTCGAGGTTAATAGCGATGTCGCTTACAATGGGCCGGCTACACAGATGTGGGCCATCCAAAACGAAAAACTCAATGTTCGGTATTATTAGAGCATTTCTAATAATTTCTTTACTGTATATTATTTATATTTTGTACACTGACTATACTCCTAAATAATAAAAGGATTAATTAATAGCACTTCGCAATTTTTTATTTATGTATACTTTTCTAGTAATAAATTATATTATTGACATAAATAGTTTATTTATTAAGTAGCATAGGCAACAACTATAAGTACCAATTCACAATTTTAGAGTATTTACTCGATCCTCAGTTTTTGTGAGGTGTTCCTGGGACAGATGTTCCAGTTTTACTACTTCTTACATTTTTGTAAAACAATGTTAAGAGATACGACTTCTTTTTTCTTTGCGCCGCAATCTATAAGAACCCCACGAGGAACTCTTATTACTCCCATTGTTATTGGCACCTCTGGAGGTTTACGATGAGTTTCAGTTTCTGTCTGCAATATAAGTAAGATTTATTTTTAATATTTATAATGAAAATATGTCTGTCGTATTTTCTTATAAGGGTATTCATAAAAATAATTGAGCATTGTAATTTTATTGGCATACAGAAGGCATATCCATGTAATGTAAGCCACATACTCAAAGTAAATCATAGTTACTTAGAGATTTTGAGTAAGCTGCTTACATAATAAATTCATCTCTATCTAATTATTTATGTTAAAAAAATAAATTATTATTCATATAAATTTGGACTTTATCATATAAGTTTTCATAGTGGCATAGTGCTACTGAGCAAGGTGAAAGAAAACTTTAGAAATTAATAATTTTCTAATGTGAAGTGATTTTGAAATTGGACATAGTTTTCCAACATTTTTTTTGTCTTTCTATCTTTTATGAGATTAACAATTTTACATAACCCAGGTATTTCGCATTTTCTTTTAATCATAAATATAGTTGTGTATGTTATATAAACAATTTAATTTAGAAAAATACTAAGATATAATAACTATATTATTAACCAACTTCTACTAATGAAAACTGCATCTACTATATTTTAAGTTGAAGGACTAAACAATTCCTCCCCCGTTGATGTATGCAATTTCTTCATCAGATAGAGGTTGCCTTCTGTAGCGGAGAGGGAGATCAACATCTGGCACGGCAGATGTACTCATTGCTGCTGCTGACTGCACTTGGGCTGGCTGAAACAAAATGAAGTACAGACGTGTATTGTTGCATTGTCTTCATTAGTTATTATTCACTAGTGTTTCACTACTTACATAATTCTGACTAAAGTTAAGTAAGGAAAGCTTAAAAGGTCTTGACAGATTAAATTAAAAATAATTCTTATGGTATGCCTAAAGTATAAATGAAATTCTAATAAGAAAGGTCTGCAAATAACTAGATCCTAATAATAGATTTTGATGATTAACATGTGACAAGGACCCACTGAATAGTATAATGTTTACAGCCATAAAAGTTTAATACAAATTCATTTTAATATCCCACTAAAATTATTAAATGCCTACCGCGGCTGCTGGTGCCGGAGATCCAGCTGATGCAGCGTTTGGCGCTGATGGAGCTGCAGCGGCGGGTCTCGAAGCCCCACTTAAACCACCCTTGCGAAACTTTATAACGGGAATACGAGCAAGAACCGGAGTAACTCGTACCATTATGATATTAGTTTGTTATGGGACGTTAGCCAAAAGTATTGTAATTTTTACGAATTATATTTTTTTCGGTCGTAATTTGACAGTCAGATGTTTAATGTCACTTTTTGTAATTTTTGTTTGTGAGTTGAGATTATTTCCTCTGAGCTGGTCTATATTGTCTTTGCTAGAGAGTACTGAGAAGGCTTTTAATTTGGTTTTAGAACGTGCTGTTTATTTTCGTACTACCTAACTTTTCGTACAAATGTTCATATGAACATATATTATGGCGATCGGTCAAACAAGCTGTTTCAATCATTCAAAGGAGTAAATAAATCCTTCCTTTTTTATAGTCAATCGTGTAGGTTAAGTATTTATAGGATATATTCTAAAACGGTTAATAAGACATAGGTCTCAGAAACATCAAGCTTAGAGACTGACAAAGATTTAGACAAAGCGTTAAAAAGGTCATATAATTTTGATCTAAATCGTATGGTTGGCAACACTGTACCAGAGACACAATTTGCATCACAAAATACTTTTTTATTATAATCTGTATCAAAAATAGAAAAAACTTTTAATAAACAGATAGTATCTATGCATCCGAATCTGTGAGACAGTTGATCAAACGTAGTGGTTACATACTCTTTGCAGTTGATGAATCCTAATTCCTACATTGCATTTTGTTTCCTTTGAAATAAGACATTTCATAAAGTGATTTACGGTTAAAATCGGAAATTTTATATTAAAATAAGACATCCATCTATATAACCATGGGAAAAGAAGACGTATCGGCGAAAAAGCGCCGTAAAATCAACACAAGTTCATCGAGTGATACTTCTAAGCAAGTGCCAGTTGATATTTATAAGGTTAACTTTTCACTGTTTATGTATAAATGTTTTAAACAGCTAGTAATGACAAATAATTTTATACAAATTTTCTGTTTCAGCGTGTTGTGGAGTTTGAAGAATCAGAAGCCCAACTACGTCCTGCTGAAAAAGATGCCACGCTATTTAAGAAAATTTGCCAAGATATCCGACATTTGTTTGCAGAAATATCAGAATTGAAATCTAAAGACACTGATGAGGTCAAGTATCGTACTATTTTCTTCTAATTTCTTTACATTATTCGCAATAGAAATTTAAATTAAAAAAAAATATATTTTTTTTTATGTAGTATCTCTTATTATAATTACATATCTTTAGCATAGAAATAATTTATAAATTATTTTTTAGGCTAGAGAAAAAATTAATGCAAAGAGGATTGAAGCTTCTTTGAACTTGGTTGCATTAAAAAAGTTGAACCGGTTAGAGAAAGTTCGAACAAGGGCAGGCCGTGATGCTCTTCATAAGGAAAAACAAAGGGTTGACTCTACTCACTTGCTCTTGCAAAATTTGTTGTATGAAGCTGACCATCTCAACAAAGAAGTTACCAAGTGCTTGCAGTTTAAATCTAAAGATGAAGAAATAGAACTTGTTTCACTTGAAGACTTTTTTACAAATGCTCCTCCAGAAATATCTCGACCAGTAAGTACTATAAATCACTATTTTAATTATTACTGTATGGTCATTGAAAGTTTAATTATGAATTGTTTTGTCAAAATTAAGATTTGTTGCATATTTCTTTAACACCTTACTAAAAAAACATAACACTCCTTTTTTGGGCAGTTGTGTATTAAAACAATATATAACTTTGATGAGTGGCACAAAATAAATGTAGCTCTAATACCATTTTGTATAGATATTAAAACTATAACAGCATAATTTGACTATCTTTTCATAATGAGATCTTTTATGCGTCATTTACTTATTAACTAAAATGATATTATCACAATTATAGGAGCTGACTAAAACTGATGAGCATCAGCTTCAACTTGCTAGACTGGAGTGGGAACTGCGCCAGCGGCGTGAATTAGCAGCAGCCTGTAATGAACTCATCTCATCTAAGGAGAGAGTTGCTGCGGCTATAGCAGCTGCACGCTCTAGATTGGATGCTTTGGTGCCTCATTTAAGAGATGTGCTGAAGTCTACAAAGCCTCTGCAAGAATGTTTAGCTCTAAGACTTGATGATAAAAGGGATGAAGCCAGAGCTGCCTCTCTACTGCCTTCCCCTCTATTTCTTTTGTTTGCCAATACCAGTGCTTACTCTGATGCACTGGGCTCTAATTCAGTAGCAGTTAGTAAGTGTTAAATCATATTAATATTTTTTATTCACATTTTAAACAATTTACTATGTTTTTATTTTTAAGTTTAAGGCTATGTTAGCTTGTTTTTTTTAACTAATTCACAATTTAAAGCATCCCCTTTAAATTTGTAGGTATATCTGGAGATGAGGATGAAGCAAGAAGGCTTGAACAACTAAGTAATGTGGATAGCGATCTTGTAGCATCTAATGATTCTGACTCTGATCAAGAAAACAATGAAGATGATCAGAGAGAAAAAAAGAAGCGTCACCATAGAACAGCCAAGATATCTAAAGAAGAGAAAGCTGAAGCTAAGAAGAAGGAGGTTCTAAAAAAACACCCTTTGAATGTGCAAGTGTCTGTTAAAGTACAAGATGGAACTGCTTTGAATTTGATCTTCTCATACTTGTTGCACTTAAAAATAGTAGTGGTCAAGTTTACTGTCACTTTACCAAAACCTATAACAGGTGTGTCAGCAGCTGATGTTCTGAATGGTCATTGTATTCTAAATGAATTATATCCAGGTGACACGGGCTGCGATTCTCCACACCCTGCTACATCTTATCTGTTGAATGCTGCTGGCATTAATGAAGACTTTCAGTATTTTATCTCAGAACTTGGAAAGCCTTATATTTGGGCTCAAAGAATGTGTGGTTTAGATTTTATGGCCACCATAACTGAAGATCAAAAGATAAACAAAAATAATAATATTTGTCCAAGTCTTAGTGTCAGTACAGTAGAAAATTTCATTTTGACTCTCAAAAAGAGATTGAAGTCACGAGTTGAGTTAATGAAAGAGTTGCAGGATTTAGAATCCGGAAAAATTCTACCAGTGAAAGGAGATTTTCTGTGTCCAGTCAGGTTGTCAGGCTCGTTGACACAGTGGCAATCTGTTGGATGGCCTGAATATAGTCAGTCACCTTCTACATCCTTTTTAATTGCGGAGGGACTCGTTAATCCTAATGATATGCTTTACAGAGCAATAATAACACGTCAGTCTGCAAAGTTAGTTGCATTGGTAGCCCTGCGAAGTGACTATCCACGGAAGGCACCAATATTTTCTCTCACTCTACATTGGAATGGGACACATCATGCTGGTATAAATGATGACATTAGAGATATTGAAAGATTTATCAACACTGACTTGGGCTCAGAAGATAAAAAGCAGTTCACTCTTTCTGTACAAATAACCAAATTATTGACATGCTTAGATATACTTCTCGAGACTACTGGCTCTTCAGAGTTTCCGCCAGATAAAGTAATGTTTTTCCCAGTGCGAGGACGTAATAGACTGAAACCCTACAAATTCCTCAAACAGGGCAATGGAGTTTTCGTACAATACTGATAGAAATAAAGAAATAATTTTGATGTGTTTGTGTTTTTTTTTTTGTTACTTTGCAGATAACCTTTAAATTAATATTTAGAAATAATAATAATTGGTAGTGGTTGCAGCTGATGCAGCGTTTGGCGCTGATGGAGCTGCAGCGGCGGGTCTCGAAGCCCCACTTAAACCACCCTTGCGAAACTTTATAACGGGAATACGAGCAAGAACCGGAGTAACTCGTACCATTATGATATTAGTTTGTTATGGGACGTTAGCCAAAAGTATTGTAATTTTTACGAATTATATTTTTTTCGGTCGTAATTTGACAGTCAGATGTTTAATGTCACTTTTTGTAATTTTTGTTTGTGAGTTGAGATTATTTCCTCTGAGCTGGTCTATATTGTCTTTGCTAGAGAGTACTGAGAAGGCTTTTAATTTGGTTTTAGAACGTGCTGTTTATTTTCGTACTACCTAACTTTTCGTACAAATGTTCATATGAACATATATTATGGCGATCGGTCAAACAAGCTGTTTCAATCATTCAAAGGAGTAAATAAATCCTTCCTTTTTTATAGTCAATCGTGTAGGTTAAGTATTTATAGGATATATTCTAAAACGGTTAATAAGACATAGGTCTCAGAAACATCAAGCTTAGAGACTGACAAAGATTTAGACAAAGCGTTAAAAAGGTCATATAATTTTGATCTAAATCGTATGGTTGGCAACACTGTACCAGAGACACAATTTGCATCACAAAATACTTTTTTATTATAATCTGTATCAAAAATAGAAAAAACTTTTAATAAACAGATAGTATCTATGCATCCGAATCTGTGAGACAGTTGATCAAACGTAGTGGTTACATACTCTTTGCAGTTGATGAATCCTAATTCCTACATTGCATTTTGTTTCCTTTGAAATAAGACATTTCATAAAGTGATTTACGGTTAAAATCGGAAATTTTATATTAAAATAAGACATCCATCTATATAACCATGGGAAAAGAAGACGTATCGGCGAAAAAGCGCCGTAAAATCAACACAAGTTCATCGAGTGATACTTCTAAGCAAGTGCCAGTTGATATTTATAAGGTTAACTTTTCACTGTTTATGTATAAATGTTTTAAACAGCTAGTAATGACAAATAATTTTATACAAATTTTCTGTTTCAGCGTGTTGTGGAGTTTGAAGAATCAGAAGCCCAACTACGTCCTGCTGAAAAAGATGCCACGCTATTTAAGAAAATTTGCCAAGATATCCGACATTTGTTTGCAGAAATATCAGAATTGAAATCTAAAGACACTGATGAGGTCAAGTATCGTACTATTTTCTTCTAATTTCTTTACATTATTCGCAATAGAAATTTAAATTAAAAAAAAATATATTTTTTTTTATGTAGTATCTCTTATTATAATTACATATCTTTAGCATAGAAATAATTTATAAATTATTTTTTAGGCTAGAGAAAAAATTAATGCAAAGAGGATTGAAGCTTCTTTGAACTTGGTTGCATTAAAAAAGTTGAACCGGTTAGAGAAAGTTCGAACAAGGGCAGGCCGTGATGCTCTTCATAAGGAAAAACAAAGGGTTGACTCTACTCACTTGCTCTTGCAAAATTTGTTGTATGAAGCTGACCATCTCAACAAAGAAGTTACCAAGTGCTTGCAGTTTAAATCTAAAGATGAAGAAATAGAACTTGTTTCACTTGAAGACTTTTTTACAAATGCTCCTCCAGAAATATCTCGACCAGTAAGTACTATAAATCACTATTTTAATTATTACTGTATGGTCATTGAAAGTTTAATTATGAATTGTTTTGTCAAAATTAAGATTTGTTGCATATTTCTTTAACACCTTACTAAAAAAACATAACACTCCTTTTTTGGGCAGTTGTGTATTAAAACAATATATAACTTTGATGAGTGGCACAAAATAAATGTAGCTCTAATACCATTTTGTATAGATATTAAAACTATAACAGCATAATTTGACTATCTTTTCATAATGAGATCTTTTATGCGTCATTTACTTATTAACTAAAATGATATTATCACAATTATAGGAGCTGACTAAAACTGATGAGCATCAGCTTCAACTTGCTAGACTGGAGTGGGAACTGCGCCAGCGGCGTGAATTAGCAGCAGCCTGTAATGAACTCATCTCATCTAAGGAGAGAGTTGCTGCGGCTATAGCAGCTGCACGCTCTAGATTGGATGCTTTGGTGCCTCATTTAAGAGATGTGCTGAAGTCTACAAAGCCTCTGCAAGAATGTTTAGCTCTAAGACTTGATGATAAAAGGGATGAAGCCAGAGCTGCCTCTCTACTGCCTTCCCCTCTATTTCTTTTGTTTGCCAATACCAGTGCTTACTCTGATGCACTGGGCTCTAATTCAGTAGCAGTTAGTAAGTGTTAAATCATATTAATATTTTTTATTCACATTTTAAACAATTTACTATGTTTTTATTTTTAAGTTTAAGGCTATGTTAGCTTGTTTTTTTTAACTAATTCACAATTTAAAGCATCCCCTTTAAATTTGTAGGTATATCTGGAGATGAGGATGAAGCAAGAAGGCTTGAACAACTAAGTAATGTGGATAGCGATCTTGTAGCATCTAATGATTCTGACTCTGATCAAGAAAACAATGAAGATGATCAGAGAGAAAAAAAGAAGCGTCACCATAGAACAGCCAAGATATCTAAAGAAGAGAAAGCTGAAGCTAAGAAGAAGGAGGTTCTAAAAAAACACCCTTTGAATGTGCAAGTGTCTGTTAAAGTACAAGATGGAACTGCTTTGAATTTGATCTTCTCATACTTGTTGCACTTAAAAATAGTAGTGGTCAAGTTTACTGTCACTTTACCAAAACCTATAACAGGTGTGTCAGCAGCTGATGTTCTGAATGGTCATTGTATTCTAAATGAATTATATCCAGGTGACACGGGCTGCGATTCTCCACACCCTGCTACATCTTATCTGTTGAATGCTGCTGGCATTAATGAAGACTTTCAGTATTTTATCTCAGAACTTGGAAAGCCTTATATTTGGGCTCAAAGAATGTGTGGTTTAGATTTTATGGCCACCATAACTGAAGATCAAAAGATAAACAAAAATAATAATATTTGTCCAAGTCTTAGTGTCAGTACAGTAGAAAATTTCATTTTGACTCTCAAAAAGAGATTGAAGTCACGAGTTGAGTTAATGAAAGAGTTGCAGGATTTAGAATCCGGAAAAATTCTACCAGTGAAAGGAGATTTTCTGTGTCCAGTCAGGTTGTCAGGCTCGTTGACACAGTGGCAATCTGTTGGATGGCCTGAATATAGTCAGTCACCTTCTACATCCTTTTTAATTGCGGAGGGACTCGTTAATCCTAATGATATGCTTTACAGAGCAATAATAACACGTCAGTCTGCAAAGTTAGTTGCATTGGTAGCCCTGCGAAGTGACTATCCACGGAAGGCACCAATATTTTCTCTCACTCTACATTGGAATGGGACACATCATGCTGGTATAAATGATGACATTAGAGATATTGAAAGATTTATCAACACTGACTTGGGCTCAGAAGATAAAAAGCAGTTCACTCTTTCTGTACAAATAACCAAATTATTGACATGCTTAGATATACTTCTCGAGACTACTGGCTCTTCAGAGTTTCCGCCAGATAAAGTAATGTTTTTCCCAGTGCGAGGACGTAATAGACTGAAACCCTACAAATTCCTCAAACAGGGCAATGGAGTTTTCGTACAATACTGATAGAAATAAAGAAATAATTTTGATGTGTTTGTGTTTTTTTTTTTTGTTACTTTGCAGATAACCTTTAAATTAATATTTAGAAATAATAATAATTGGTAGTGGTGTTACAAATAAGATTTATTAAAACAACACAAATTAATTTTATAATACAACAGTCTTTATTCTTATTTCAGTAAAGCAGTAGACATTTGAGAGGAGGAAATACATTTCAGGATCACAATATGGGCAAAATAAACAAGGAGAATTAAAATATACTAAAATTCATTCAATCATACAATCTTTCATTATAAGGAAAATACTTTCAAATCATATTTCGTAGCTTAGCCTAAAAATGCCATAATATTGTTATTGGTCGTCAATGAGATCTCTATAGCATTATATTTATACCGAGACATAATTACTTCATAATTTTCATTTTACATGATCAACTACAAGTTGGTAATAATAAAATGTTAGTGAGACTTAATCAGAAACAATACTACGTTTTCTATCTTATGCCTATTTAATTCACTAAAATGTAGATGACTGGAAAAAATAACTCATATATTTCTTATTATTTATATTTATGTAGAACAGTTTGCTACTTCAAGTGAAAAGTGCTTAGTACTAAAATTTCAAACCTCACTAAATGATACAACCATTTTTATTTAAAAGGAATTCTAGACACACATCTATGAAACTATATTTTATATTTATATTCATTTCAAAGCGTTTAATGAATCATCTTTTTATCATACTATACCTCATTTAGGTAGTAGTAAGGTAGACATCCTAAATTAGATGTTATTCGTAGTGGGTAAATAAGTATCTATTAAACTTTAGTTTTGCGTTTTGCTGTGCTAAATAAGGTATAGAACATAATTTCAATAATATCTACTAAGAACTTCTTTGTGAAATGTACTGAATATAAAAAATATAATTCACTATTGCGATTTATTTATTGTAATGTTCATTTTTCGTCATTGCTAAACGATTGTATACAATGATTTCAATTGATATTTTTCACTTTATATTTTTATACATTTTTGATTAATTAGTATTTTGATTCTCACCGAGTCATTTTTGAGAACAAAATAAAATCACTTTTCATGTTGCATCACGTCCGCTTACTCCTACGCCTGGGTTGCGCGCTGCATTATGAGATCCCGGCCTCAAGTTTTACATCCATTATTTTACGCGGCCCCTTGAGGCAGTTCAGTCGTCGTTGTACGGCGTCTCGGTCTGTAAAATATAGATAGGCACAAAATGTAAGTTTTAATCTATCCGTAATCGTAACTCAAGTACAGGAGTGGAAGTAGGTACTGACACTTGGACAGCGTAGTGCGGTGCTGCGGGTGCAGTGGGTGGCGCTGTACGAGCGAGTGTAGCAACACTTGCGCAGACATGTAGCGTCGCTCGCATTCTTTCATATCGCCGAACAACTCCTCGATGGCCGCCATTTGACACTAAACATAAATATTGATTGTATTTTTAACTACATAAAAATACAAAAGGCTAATAGGATTCTTTGTTATAGGGTATGGCTAACGTACTAATAAATTATTATAATTTCGTTAATTTATTTATTTTATGGATGGCCATACAAAGTTATGCAGACATATCATGTAAAATGTTAAATGTCTTCTGTATCTAAACGAGTTGAGCAATGTTTAAACTGAACAACGTAGAGATCATAGTACATACCAATTCAATCGCATGTTCGTAGAGGATTTTGTCGCAGACAGCAGGGGTAACTCCTGCCTCATGGAGCCTCCTCGATTCATTGACAATCCACTTGTATTTTCCGTTCATGAGGGATACAACTATAAGATACAAAATAAATGAGTTAGTACCGTGTCTCTTCAAAGATAAAAAAAATGAATGTCTGTCATGATTCGTAAGGCGTGCAGCTAGTATAAGTAGTGGGGAAACGTAAGAATAAGAATAAGAATTATTTATTTGTAAAACATAGGTGTGCGAGTTGTTACAGTTTGGTAGATCTTCCATGCTTTGCCTTGAGGCGTACAAATATTTATACACATAATTATTATTGTCCATTTTTCATTGAACTTTTGAGGTGAAGCAAACTTAAAAATCTTTAATAATTTCAAAATTAATTGATACATCATTGCAAATTGAATTAGTTTCAATAAAAATCATCTAGTAACATTTCATAAAAAATAAATAAAAATAAAATAAGAAATTATATAAAACAAAATTTAGGACCATTAAAATAAATTAGAAGATAAATAATTATGTGGTTTTAATAAGGTAAGCACTAAAATTGTCAATATTAATAGGCACATGCATATAATTGTAAATTAAATAAATTAAGTTAAAAATCAATAAATGTCAAAAAGAGTAAGCTGCATGTCATCATAATTAAATTAAAGTTAATAGGTATATGTATAATATTACGTACCGTTCCTTACTTGCGGCGTGGGCTGCAGCGTGCGGGCGCGGTAGTGCGCGGCGGCGAGCCGCAGGCCGGCGGCCAGCGCCTGCATGGCCTGCACCAGCAGCCCCAGCCGCACGCGCGCGCCCGTGCGCTCTGTGGACACACCGCGCGTCACGCTCGGCTCGCCCGCCTCGCCCGCCTCGCCCGCCTCGCGCTGCGCATACATACCGTCCGACACGTCCATGAGCGCGGCGATGGGCGCGCCGCACGACACGGCCAGGTCCGACAGCAGCTCCGCCAACATCAACACGAAGTTCAGCTGAGAGAATACTTTGCTGTGCTCCTCCTGCGTTATGAAAATCACAATTTAAAAAAAATCCTTCTTATAGTATCCTTCGACGATATCAGCGACATATAATATAGTAGTCACCGCGAGGATGGTCTCCTCTTGCAAGTTGGGTATGTAGACGGGCGGGTCGGGTGGCTGGTGCAGCTTGATGCCGCGGAGCAATGCGTCGGGTAGCGCCTGCCGCTTGGGCGAGCTGGCCCCGCCGCCGCCCGCCAGCTCTCCGCTCGCCTTCAGCGCCAGCGACACCGGCGGAGACGAGCCTGTGTACCACACTACACTTTGTCATTATCATTCTCAATCATTATTAATACTTGGGAAAACATACAATGATCATGATTACGATTTTATTTGATTGATACAAATTGAGAAAGAGCAATAACCTGATCTGCGCAGAGGACTGGCATTGGTGGGAGAGACCTGCCACAGCGAGGGAGGCGGCGAGCTGCCAGAGTTACTGCTGCGGCGCCGAGTCGACGGCGGCGTCATTGTGAACGGCACCTGGGAAAGTAACAAAGCATTTCGCACATTGCTACAACGATTCGCAAACTCATTATTCCAACTACCGCCTTAGTGAGAAATGGCAATTTCTCACATCCCATACTTCATGATCAATTATATCGATATGTACAAAGTGGAGAAGTGAAGACAAATAGCAACTGCCGCATTTATATTCTATTTACATAATTTATTATATTGAAACACTTGAGTGAATACATATGGGGTTACTATCTCGTACAATACACATGGATTATAATAAATATAATGAGTAAGTGGAAAATTATTCACACTTTGCATCATGCGTGGTAGGTAATAGGTATTACATTATGTTAAGAAACGTTACGTAACGGCGTGTAGCGGGACAAAATATAACAGGCCGTTCCCAACACCTAATTGTATGCAAAAACGTGGCATGGAATTAACGTTATTGTAAAAATTATATTCTTATTTTTTCTCTGAATTTTACAGGTATTGGTTATAATGTAAATTATATATAATACAATAAGTGACATGAATACTTACAGTGGGTGGTGAAAGCGAGCCGATGTTGGTAGCGTTACGGCTGTAGTTCGATCGAAGCACGTCGATGGGTTGTGATCGTGGTACGTTATTGTTAGATGTTACGGCGAGTGGATTCTGCAATGGACGCTTGTATTGTAAACACACAATATGTGAAACTTGAATATCGACCAATATGAAATTTAGAACAAACTTATGATTAGCAGAGCGTATTTAGTAAGCTATTACCTAATAAATTATATAACGCTGCTATATACTTGGGTATATTAGCCTGTTATGTGCACTTGTTTCATTTTTATATTCTTGTAGTATTTAGGGTTGCAAATAATTGGCATCGCAGCGTTGGAGACACCTTTAATTTCAAAGATGAAATGTAAAGCAATATTTAGCATTGTTTGACAGTAATGTAAGTGTAGGACGAGTACCCTGTTGACGGTAACCGGTGGTGGAGCGGTGTAGGTATGTGTGGGTGGCGCCGAGGCCGGGGGTGCAGTGGCGGGGGGCGTAGCGCCGGCCAGAGCCAGGGAGCGCGGTCGCGGCGCCGCCTCGGAGCCCGAGGACGCGCCCGAGTACTCCGCCGAGCCACTCTCCGTCGCCTCCACCAGCACGAAGTCGTCCTCGCCCGCCCAGGTCGTGTCTGACGACTCGGCTGCAATAACATTCATTTCTATTAACACACATGTTACTACTCAAATCAATAGGTCACTTCGTTTCTAATTAAATATTTCCCTTACTTTATATATCTTTGGGATTGAAAAATAATGTTCACCTGAAAGTACTAAACTCTTAAGACAAATTTTCTTTCAATCTGTGTTTGTTCGTCTTATAGATAAATCAGGATTACGAAAACATTTAACAATACATAGTATAGATTCGAATGTTAGTGTAACACAATTATATTGCAGCGCATAGTGACCCGGACTTGGTCCAACTTCAGCTTTAATTAGAATCTGGTTTAGCCCAGTGAACTAGTGACCCCGTTGTTATTGACGTGAACCACTAGCCCACTGGGTAATATATCACTAATCTGTCCCCAGATAAACTTGCTGTCGTTAAACTGAACTAGTACATATTAGAAAACAGACATTATTTAGAATGAGCATGTCTTCAGAAACAAAACTTGGCGGCCTCGTTGAAATACTACTTGTAAACAGAATGTGGGACAATCAGTATCTGCCGCAGCAAGCTGTAGATAATTTCATAGCAACACTTAAATGAGTGCATTAACTCTACACATAATGGCGGAACAGACAATAAATTACTGCATTTACATTACAATAAACTTGATACCGGCTCTAGGTGCCCAAGGGCAGGTTAGTGAGGGTTATCAAATTTGTTTACTCGGAGAACAATGATCTACTTTATTAATATTTCAACCGTGGTATTGCTATTAGAGTAATATCCTTATTATTTGCGCAAGTGTATTCGATAGTGTCATAAGAGCTCTGACAAAAGGTGGTAAATGACACGTGACTTAAAAAAATATGTTACATAAACGTCATGAATTGCACATTAATTTGTGTAAATAATATAGGTAGTTAGGTGCCAAATGTGAACCAGCGTCACTTATTATCTGAAACCGCCCAGTAGCGAATTATTGATGTTGATAAAACGATCGCCTTCAATGTAATCATTTGTGACAGTGCAAGATAAAGATAATCTTATTTTTTAAGTTTTACATAATATTTTTGGTTGTATTTAAAGTCTTATTAATTACCTCGACGAAAGTTCAATTTATATAAAAGAGACAGTATAAATGAGAGAAAAATGAAACAAGCACGACAAGGAAAGAAACAAACTCATTTAAAAAAAGGAATAAAATACAAATGATTTGAATTACAATAATTCTAGGAAAAGACGCGATGCCGACGTCACTAATAATAAATTAACTTATTTTCGTCTACACTAATCAGTTTAGTCACTAGAATCATGCGAATTCATCAAAATATCGTAGATCATAATCATGATACACGTTCATTGATAATAAATTATATTTTATAAGTCTGGAAATCAAGGAGTAAGAACAAAGTAATATTCATTTTCAACTCGCCTTATTTACATATCCCTGTATATGTTATCCTAAATATTATGTATTTTATTTATTTTGGTTTACTCGGGATTTTATTTGTACCTTCATGAATAGTTATAGGTATTAATGAATATTGTCCATTGTTCCTTCTTTTTCTTCCGCAGTTGTTAACCTACTGGGTGAAGGCAAAATATCATGAATGGTGCTCTTTACGCTTCCCGAACACGAAGTATCTGAAACGTTAATTGGTCCCCTACCTTGCAACCGTCTGTTGTTTTGTGGTATTTCAATTGTTTAATATTAATTATTTTCTAGAATCGATTTATCATACAGTTTTACTACAAGAATAAACATATAAACAGAGCCAAGTACCGCTATATTTTTTATCCTTCATAAAGCAATGAATAAAACGGAAATGATTTCATTGTGTTGCGGTCGCTTGCGCAACAATGTCATTTATTTTAGCTGAAGTTTAATTTGCGGCGTAAATAGCATATTATGTAAATTATAACGTTGTCTTACAAACCATCTTACAGCACATGGAGTGCACAGTCAAACAAAGCAAATATCATTAACAGTTCGTTGAAGTGTCATTTAGTTACAAAATGAGGTACTTAATCATGATTGAAAGAAACGGTAAAGACGAAAATCCATTCACTAGTTTTTTCGCGAAAGACTTACCAAATTCGTTCATTTATATACTTACAAACACGTTAATAATATTAGTAGGACAGAAATTTGATACTTATAACTTTAAAGTAGGTGCTTATGAGATTGTGCGTAATGGAACTTTTGACTGGAGCACATTATGTTACTTAGGTGTGTCAAGTACCTTTGTTGCAATAGTGCTATGCTTACCGGAGGATGTCGGCTGTGATTTCTTGTATGTCTGAAGAGTGGGAAGCGCCTGCGCTTGCGAAGCGTTGGAGCTGCGCGGCGCCGAGGAAGGTCGCGCTGCCGCGCTAGTGCCCGCTGAGCCTACTGCACCCGTCCCTCCCGTCCCCGGCACGGAAGGGGTCACAGTCACTCCTGCTGACACACCGACTCATTTAGACACCCTCCGCAACAGTACCAACACTCCAAGTGCAACTCATGCAATACATTCAAACTGTACATAAACAAGTTACAGAATTTTATATTAAACTTTAAACCCCAAGCTTTGAATATTATTGGCAAGCGGTGATTATGATTGGTTGCAAGTGATACCATAGTCCTTGAGATTTTGAACTGTCGAGTGTCTGTCGACGGTAGCCGGTCGTCAGTAGTACTCTTGTGATGCTCAATGGTCAAATCAATTACTGTATGGTATGTATGTAGGCAATGCATTTTTGCCGCATTATTGAAATTATAGAGGTATTTATGACATGCCTTTCAGTGACACTAACTGTTTGGTTAGAGAACTATTGTCGACACAGCACAACCCACTTATTGGTAAGATTACAAAAATATGCGCCACCCCCAACCCATGCACAATTAAAGCGAATTTAATAAGTGAGCATGTACCCTGACTTTCCCATGACTCCTCTAGGTAACAGTTAGTATCGGGCCGACACTCGAGATCGCTCTCCAAAATGTCGGGCAGATCCGAGTCCAAACCTGAACAATATGAATAACTTCATACACCGTGACGAGCATTGTAGTGTGTCTGTGTATTTACAAAGATATATCTGATGCCTACATAAATAGTTCAAAAATTCATGGACTAGGGAGCTAGTTGTGTTTATGTTAAATGGAGTGATATCATTGACGATGTTTATTTAGCTATAAACTATATATTAACGTCAAATTAATGAGTTTGATACAGTAAACTAGATCAATTCAATCAAAATACGTGTAGAGATAACATAATAATTAAACCTATATGTGGTAAACGAGTATGTTATTAAACGATTCTGCAACAACTTTTATTACTATTATTATGATAAAAAAAAGTTCTATCAGAGCAATTAACATCTACTTTGTCAATTAATATTTTTTATGTTTGTATTGTGTCAAATATGGCAGTTTAAAAATATTTATGATTGCTATTTTTCAAAATGTATTTGCAAGGGAGCTAAGTTTATAATCCTAATTTTCTCTGTTAGGAAATCTGAATACCTGGTAGTACCTACGTAGCACAGAAAGCAGGGGATTTCAAAAGGTTATAAACAATGGAACGGGTCAGCAGTGATTAGTCACTTGGTCTGATTAGTGTCGTGTATTCAGTTTTCAATGTTAGCTACCTACGTTGAATTCTCGTTAATGAGTCATTGTAGTTTATTTACAAGACTATAAGGATTATATTCACTTGTCCCGAATTGTGTATTCTTTACTACGAATTTATCATATACCTATGATTTAATATGTGTGCTGTATGGCCTGTATGTGATGTCAAAAGCGTGGTAAAGGAATGTTGTTAGTACAATAGAATGGGATTTTGCAATCAGGTTCGTTTCTGTAACTTACTGTTAATGGAACTGGTCCGTGGCCGTTGTAAGAAAGCGTGGTTGAAGAAAGCTTCAAAGGGCATTCGCTCACGAGGATTTCGTCGAAGCAGACCAATTAGCAAGCTGCAGAGCTCAGGACTTGTGCCTGCTGGCATTCTGAAAAATGACAATCACAACATTACCTATTTGCAGATTCGAAATCGTTCAAGTGAAGTAATACAGGGCAGAGGAATTTAAACTGGTCCTTCGTAAATATTTATTTTCTAGGCAAGATAAGATAATCAAATAGTTCCTTTACATAATCATGTTTTCTCAGATAAGTATTGAGATAGGACGAGAATTTAAAAATACATCTAATGTAGATGGCATCGGACGCTCTCAAGCTGTTTACAAATATTTGGCGGCTTGGGACGCTTTCTGTACGTATTTTATTGTATCATCGAACGCTAACATGTCACAAAGTTGTCACAGAGCCAATTCTAATTCATTCGTCTTAGAACCTTGAACACTAGAACCGATTCATTTGGGCTTAGTAAAAACTAGCTACAAAAAATGTCCGAGTTAGGTGTGAATAAAATAGTTCCAGATATTTCTTATACATTAAAATCGTAGCCATCAAAATATTGTTTCGATATTGAAGAAAAGAATTCTTCTGCTTTTGATGTTGATGCATTGTTTTTTGTATACCAGTAATACTCACTTAGGTTGCAAGTCGACGCTGTTCTCGTAGAATGCTTTCAGTTCATGTGGTGTTGTGGCTTGGAAAGGAGCCTTGCCAGTGAGACACTGGTACACTATCGTGCCCAGACTCCAGAGATCAGCTTTAGCGTCATACTTCAGTGACATTATTACTTCTGGCGCCTACAATTAAACAATTACAACGTAAAGGAGTATTCATACCACTTATTTAGTCGAAGTCTAGTAAGAATCACTTAATAGCATTAAAAATATTCATGAAAATAACATTACCATATACATCGGTGAACCACACAGCGTGACGGCCATATTTCCTTCTTCAAGGAACCTTGCGAAGCCGAAATCGGCTGCAGATAAAAAAGAATTAAATGATTACTTTTATAATATGTGTATGTATAAGTATCATGATTTTCACTATAGAGGATACCATTCAATTAGTCTTAATACTGACTGTCATCCGTGAAATTTTAATGTACTACATTAGAACTTCACGGATGATGTTGTTGTGTTAAAAATATTGTCTCATGAATCGAATATTACACTGAAAAGCATGACTCAGATAATTCTTACAGGTAAGTTTCAATAACATTATACCGGATATGATAACGAAATATTTCTTCCGACTAATGCTTTTCGTAATAAGTATGTTTGCGGAGATACATACCAATTTTAAGAGTTATTTCCGAGGCATGAGGTGTGCGTGGCGGTGCGACATTATGTGTGAGGAGGATGTTCTGCGGCTTCAGGTCTCGATGCACTATACCCTTAGCGTGGATAGCCCGCATCGCTTCCGCCAGCTGTCGCAGGAACAGCCGAATGGTGCTTTCACTGAGCAGGCGGTTCGCTTGCAAATAGTCCGCCAAGTCTCCCCCATTGCAGTACTGAACAAAAAGAACAAGCGTTTCCATTAACGATTTGTTGGCTAATGAAGAGATTGGATAGAATCCAGAAACTCTTCAACAACTCTAATGAACGTCAAAAGAGAAAAGAAAATAGACAGGATGAGCTGGCTCAAAAAGCTCGCGGCTAAGTTAAGAGGTGCATCGTCCAATTGTTCTTTATGTGGTCACAGATGAGTTTCTTTTTGAATTTGTTTAAGGTAATATGTATTTATAAGCATTATATTTATACGATACAAAAAAGGTATTTCACGTCTTGAGTTAATTACTATAAGTACTAATTGTACAGCTACAGGTAATTTATGCAATGGATTATTAGAAATATATTTTCTTTCGTTGTAGTAAAAAATTATTCATGTATGAATAGTATTCTAAATCCAGATTTTTTACTGTAAAACACATGTCATGTTAGCTGTACATAAAATAATAGGGAAAGCAGTTAATGCCTCAATATTGTATTGTGCTTTGGTATCATAAAAGGATTTGGGTGTTAGCAGTGTATCGGCTACACTGCTAATGTTCAACATTATGTATTACAGAGTTGGTATAATTAAATAATTCTGTGGAGCTAAACGTTAACCATCTTTGCGGGTAGACAAAAAAAGTCGTCATGTCTTTGCCGTGTGTTAAAAGAATACACTTATGTGTGTTTATAAATAGGTAAACTTTCATTCCTTTGTGTAATAAAACAGCGAATGTTTATCTTATTAGTTACTACGTTCATCGGTTTACGGACTACAGCGGCGCGTAGATCACCAGAAACAGGGCAATCTATTAACGGATCAGATGGAGGACCTTGACCGGCTAGTAAAATATGTATTTAACCTAATGGTGGATTGTTAGAGGTAACCACAACAATAACGATTTAAATCATAAGTGTAATTACCTCCGAAGCGACGCAGGTATCGTGTCATATTCGTAGTTTACACATCACATAAGTAAAACCAACAGCTGTGTTGTATAACATTAAACTTTACAGAATACAGAAATTTATAGACATGAACCATCAGCAAAGTACCAGTAACATCAGTGAAGCAGAGATAACGTAGTGTACGTGTGCGTTTTCGTGTGAAGTTCGATAATTCTGTGTTTTTCTTATAAATATTCGTTATTGTGATGGATTTCCGGCATTGTTCTCAAAAGTGAAACGTTTTTGCCCGTACCTACTTATGAGCAAAGTGATTATGTAAGGATCTCGAGGTGAATTTGATGCAATTCGACTTCCAATATATAATTAACATAGGCGGTTTTGTGTATTTGTAGAATTAGCAACTGGCAGTTAATGAAGACCGTCGTCGTGTATCAGGCGCGATCATTTACACATATAACTGTGTAAACATAACCATAGGTAACTTCATCCATTGCGTGCTATTTGTTGGTCGAAGGTGATATTGAAAATCGGCCACCTAATATTTTCTCGTTTATGCAGAGCGTCGTTATCGTGGTTGATTTGCGATAAGCTGCCATGCCGTTTATAATCTTATCATTGAGTGATAATAGTTATAAGTGTCAGTGAGTTATGTGCTGTACTGTACGCTGGTACTTGTGCCACAACAGGTAACAACTCCTGAAGTCAATTGGCACATTTTTACTAGTGCTGTTAGTATTTGAGAGTGACCATGACGTCGAAACATCTTTTCATGCTATTGTTGGCTCTATTTGCGTAAGTACATATTTATTATTTGTTTTATTTAACCTTCATTGGATTTTATATTTTTATTCGCCTCCACCTACAGATAGATACCTACTTATCTGTACTATAACGAGATTGAACAATCGAATTCCCTTACAGTATCTGCTATCAATAGAGACCCGTATACAAAATTAACTAATTCGTATATTTTGTTTACCATATGTTAACTACAAACAAAACCATGGCAAAATATTTTCTAACATACTCGTCCATTTTCTTATTCAAACGCCCAAAGAAAATACCGTGCAGCTTACTAATTGTAATAACTCAAGGCCCATTTCACGGCGTTGATTTAGCGTAACTGACATATATTTTGACATATTTTCCATGCGAAATATATTCGTTAAGCTAACAGTGACTTAATTACACATTGTGGAAAAGTGTATTTTTTATATTTTTTAACAGATAAAATAAATCAAAAAATTTAAAATTACCAGAAATTGTTTGTTAGGCAGAAAGTAGCATAATACCATTAGTACCTATTTAGACATTTAAGTCCTTGATATCTAACTCTAAACGTAGGTATATTTTCATTCTATCAATCAAAGTTTAAGACAGTGTGCTAGTTACGCCCTTGTAGTACATACACTTATCGCGATTTTATCACCTACTTATTTATAACAATTTTGCGTCACCTTACGATAAATTCGATAAAGTCACATGTCATTACTGCATTAATATCAATTTCCAGGAGTACAATAGCTCAAAGTGACGATGAGTTACACATTCCTGTTGAAAATGACAATCAGTTTCCTCCCGACAATCATCCCGAAGCTGATGGTGGCATTATAGAGGGTAGTGGGGCAGGAGTTATCGAAGAGCCACTTGAGTCAAGTACTGAGACATCTGCGCTATTATTAGACGACGTGCAATTGACATCTTTGACAAATATCGTACCAGCGGCCGAATCAGAAGAACACGCGTGTCCTAAACCATGTGTCTGCAACATAGAGGGAAACACCAACAAGTACATTGTAGATTGTTCTGGATACGAACTGACCGAATTACCGAAACCTTTGGACCCTAAGACTACAGAACTTAACCTACAGAATAACAAGATAACCGAAATACCAAAAGATATATCTGAATTGAAGAATTTGAAAGTACTGAATGTTAATAACAATGAAATCATGAAGATTGTTTCTGGAGTAAGTACTAAAATTAATGTTGAAGTCAAATTTTAAAAGCGTGATTAATTGAGCACTCTTTGAATTACGATTGTAATTATTACAATCGAGATGTCACTTATTTTAATATTAATGTAAATCTGTATAAAGCTCTGAGTTCGTCGATGAGAAGACTTTGTATTTGTTAGATGGCACAGTCACGCATAGTAGGTCAATATTAGTCAAGTCCTAAAATCCACCTCATAAGAGACTGTGTATATTAGTCGTTTCAAGTGCTAACGAGCTAGTACCGTCTCATATACCAACGTATTATTAGTCGATACAGTAAGATTATTATATTTTTACTCGTGGCTTCTATTAACAAATTCTTATTTTAATTTCAGTCCTTGAGTGAACTGCCTGAGCTAACGAGCCTGAAATTGGGAAACAACAGACTTCTAGAATATCCACAAGACCTAAAGAATGGTTTCGGTTTGACAAAATTAGAAGAACTTGATTTGGGAGGCAACGACATGAGAACGGTAATTATAATTTAAATACTATTTATAAATGTTTTCTCGTTCAAATAGCTTTAAAGTAAGCAAACCATCTGTAGTGACTCTTTCATGTAAAACATCAGTTTATCATTGCTGTTTGTCGATTACGTCGTATTGTAATTGCCGGACATCAGTTCAATGAAACAAAAAACTCTAAGTTGAAGGCACTTCGAGACCGCCAATAGCGATATAATTAAACCTGTTTATTTACATATAAAAAATTACGTTTCAGGGTATTAAACCAGAATCATTTACTAACTTCAAAGCTCTTCGCTCATTAACGTTACCAACTACTGCGGCTAGTCTAGCAGAGGACTTGTGCGCAGCACTTAAAGAATCTTTAGTCACCGTATGTACCGGAACGTGCAGTGAAAAAACTTTAGAATGTCCTGATGCACCACAAACTACAGATTTAGAAGAAGGTTTACTAGACTTCGCATTGCCTGGACTAATTGCTTTGGGAGCCACACCCGATGAAGATGCCGGTGATCCAGCTGTGAATTCCCCCCCGGATGTGCATGTTGATAATGAGACGGAAACAAATGTACCAGCTGCGCCAGAAGTTAATGTAGAAACTACATCACAGGCCCCTATCGCTAACGCGGCAGACGCCACGAACTCAGTTGGAGACTTTTCGCTTCGATCTGCAATTATTAAAACATCTGACCAACCACCGGAAGCAGAGGCTTCAAGTACTACAGCACCTGCAAAACCTGAAAGTGAAGTTGTTGGGGCTACGACTTCAGGATCGAAAACTGGTGGCGTCGACAAAAGCGTCATCGGAATGATTGTCGCTGGAATGGTTCTTGTAGTAGCAGGTATAACAATTAAGAAAAATTGGAGCTCCATTAGGAACAGGTTCAGCAGTTCTCCATCAAGAAATGCAAATGACAGAGCAAATGTTAATGCCAACGGAACTGCGCCTGAAGAAGTCCCGCTGCAGGAGAAATCTCCTGTGTAAACAACACATAGTAGTTAAGTTTGTGGAGTAACTGTTGATATATGACTTGTTTCGATCTGAATGCTGTATTTATTGACGAAATAATGCCAACGTTTACCAAGGCCTAAAATGTGTGAATGAATTAGTAATTTAAGAAATTATGGTATGGAAATAGATTAAGTTTTGTAGATTGTGTAGATTTTTTGTAAATAAGAACGCAGAATGCAACAACTTCTTTTTTACCTTGACATAATGGAGTACAATTTTGCAATAAACAATGTGTTTATTCATAAAATTACTTTTATTTTAAATGAGAAAGCAAGTATAAAATTCCGGATTGATTTATTCCGGAGAATTTTTGAATAGCCAAACCTTTAAAGCTTTCATTACGCAGCAGCCACGGTTGCTGCCATTCCACTAACGAAGAACTCAACAAAAGAAATTAAGGCGATGAATTACCTGTATTATAAAAATTGTTTGCGATCAAATATATGTAGATGCCTTGATTTTTAAGGGGACAATGACTGTTTACATTATGTGTCATGCAGTTACATATTTACAGTGTGTAGTCACATTGTTTACTAGCACAATTTACACAAACTCTTCTTTTAGTGGTTCAGCAATAGAATAGTTTAGGAGCCCAAACAAAAATATTTTTTAACGCGTAAAATAAGACCCACATACAAAAAAACATCTACAATTAAGTACAACATAAAATCAAACAACTGCTAAGTTAGGAGTGACATAATTATAATAATTTCATAATCGAATTCAATAGTCAACGTCACATTATTTTCACTGATTATTCTAGACGCCAAACGTATTTTTGACGACGTTAATGAACGATAAAAATAATGCGTAGTTCAATGAAGTGTTTGTTTACTTGTGAAAATTCAGTTGCGCATTTTAGAAAGAGATGGTGTAATAGGTGAAACTTTGTTCTTTTAAATGGATTTCTTCAAATGATTTTAAATCGAGTTTCATGTCGGGTTTGGGTCGGGTCGCACACGTAGCAAAACAATGGTATAATAGATGAAAGTTGATGTGAAAAGAAATGCTACATTAAAGAGCGGGTCGTGGCACTCGACAGTCGGCACAAGACGCAACGCAGGCGGATGTGCGGCTGACTGCCTGCTTACCTGACCGACAACCTGTACTATACTTTGTCCCGTTACATTCTGTAATCCGTTATAGAACAACAATACTTAAGAATAGCGTGTGCTTTATTCTTTTCAAACTTGCAAATCGGTGTATTGTTCAAGCACTGCGTTATTTATTTACTTACCTATAAAAACAGACAAAAGAAAACGATGACAAATTATTACAAATATCACGGTGATTAATTAGGCAGGATGATAGGGTCGTTGACATTAATAAAGTTTAAGCCTAATGCGTACATCACAGAGAATGTATAAGCTTGTCACTGTTTAAGATATAGCATTCGATGCGGCATACTTTCCTAAATAATATCATATCTAGCAATGTCCGTGGTTTGATCATTCACACGCAAGGCAGCCTTACATATTGTACATAAGAACCTACCTATAGTATACGAATGAATGTTTTTGGAATTATGACTCAAGTGCAGTGCCCTCGTTTCGTATTTTTGTATAATTCTGGAAAACGTTAACCCTGATACATTTAATACCAACGCAGTTTGATTTAAGCGTATTTAGAGCCTCGATTGCTCTTTCCCACGACTACAAAATATAACTGATGAACTTAAGATAACCGTTTATTAGTTTGAAATATTGCATTGTATAAGTAAACTTATCGAGCGATAACGAAACTACGACGGATTAGAACAAAGAAATTAATAGGTAAGAACTAATCAATTCAGACAACGTAAGACGCGACGGGAAGCGGGAACATGAGATTACTAGACCTTGCTTTGTTCGCTCATGTATAAAATTATTGTATTAGAGTACTTATAATGGCGTATGTGTGCGGATTGCGATCTTATACAAACCGGTTTTCCTTTATGAAACGATTTCATCATCAACATTAAGACTTGATTTGTGACACCAACATCAATTAGACTTAAAAGTTAGATGACCGCGAAGATGACGCAACCCGTAGGCTAAGATGGGTTAAAACAATGCAGTTGACAATACAGTTTAAAAAATGTTATAGCAAGAGCCAATAGCCTTATGTATAACTGAAAACTGTGCCTATGTAATGGTATGTGTAGTTCGAAAGTGGTTAGTGGTATTATCTAAAATGATAAGAGTGTTAAGCGAACAGATAGAAAGCTGTGCTTTCCGGCACGACACTTTCCAGCTCTAGACGAGGCGTTGCAGCCGCTGAGAGAAACCAGTCTGACGCAATCAAGCGTGCCGATTTATCTAGATTACTGATCGTGTCAGCAATGTGTAACATGTAAGTACCAAGCTTAGAACTCACGTTAGCCACAATTAATAATGATTAACATAACAACAAATTACTAAATTACTCATTGGAGACGCGACGGACTCCTTTATCTGTATTACTTTTAAAAGTTTTAGCCTAATTGGTATCAATGTAAAAACAACAAAGATTACTGTTGTATTTTAATGATTGAAGCCTCCAAGCATTAAATGTGTTAATTACTTATTCAAAACACGATATGTTTTCTAAGGTTACAAAGGGTTAGGTTCTAAAACGTCCCATTGTAGTAGAGTGCACATTGTGCCCGCACCGCGCCACGTGCGAGATCTAGGGCCCAAGAACCAGTCGTATTACCAACTAATGCGACCACGAGGTCACCACCTGACTAGCGATACATCTCTTTGTGTTTATATTATTATCAATGTTCGCGCTGGCTACAATATTTATATACATATTATATAATTAGATAAGAATACTTTAATGTATTAACAATACATTTAAGTTACAAAATCACACCAAACTTGGTTGTGTGTGTGTGATTGGATGATTTTACTACCATCAAGAGATACAATCACAACAAGTAAATATGAAAATTATTTCATGTGTTTGGATAATATTCAGTTGGATATTTGTTTCACAAAACTTCCATGTAAACTGGGTCGGGGGCAATAGTTAATAAGTAATAAATAACTAGTAATAAGTTTATTTATTACTATGATTAGTCATTCAAAGAAATGTCGTCATCGAAAGTCTATGCCAGACATGTGTAGGGAACAAGTTATTATCTAACATATCTGTTCATAAGGAAGTAAATTAGTTTGTAACGAATAAATAGATAAATTAACGACAAAGTTAATAAGTCTTCAATTAATTACCATCAATTTGTAAAAATTATTCCATTTGTGACAAAAATATACTACAGAACTACTCCTCGTTGTGCTCCTCTCAGGTACCAATTTAAAACTTGTTTTTATCAATAATCTCATTTAAATATTCCACATTTTTGGTACATAAATAAATACTCACAAAACATTTACGTGTAGCAAAGAACGAAGATCAAAACCAAGTTATCATTCATTGGTGGCAGAGTCTTTGTTCATCGTGTTCACAGTTCATTGTACGGGGACACAATCTTGTGAAATCGTTGCCGCTAAGAGGACACATGATCTTTTTATATAA